TGTTGTGTTTTTGTGTGTCCATGGACATTGTTACTTCACATGTTGTATATAGTGTAGAGATGTTTGTAATAAGTCACTACATAAGAGAGAGAGTGGGATGCACCGTAGTAGAAATTTGGAAGAGCCTCTAATTGTGATTCTGTAGAAAGGGAACTGCCAATATGATATCCACCTTTGTACTATAGTATTACAGAAACATCTTTTGAAATTCAAGTAACCATATAAGACTGTAGAAAAATTTCAATTTCAGATATTATTAATATTATACTTACTATAATTACTATAAGGGTGGGCAATGCACATTGTGTTAGTCACTGTTGTAATATTTCAGTTACATGCAGTTATTAGTACAAACTGGATTATTGTTTGTTACTGTATATCCTTATTATTGTGAGTGGTAGTCCATAGATGATGGCATGCAATTAATAGTAATGAGATATCATAACTCTTAATACAAGTGGTATATAATAGAAGGTATCACTACAAAACTAGATGTACCGTATGCTGGCATTCTAGGAACCTTTAAACAACTATTGTGTATTATGAATAGTCATTGTTATTACCTGTATAACAGTTTTAATGGAGACAATATCATGATATCTAAATGAGACATCATACTGATGAGACAATATTGAATATCACCCACTCTTACTTACTACCGGCATGTGCTACTAGTATTTGGCTGACAAACAGGTCTAGGGTGCCAGTTATAGTAAAAAAATAGACAACAAACACTGAAAAATATGGGACCTCTCTCTTCTATACTCAAATGACATTATTATTAAACCACTATAGCATTACAGAAATGTCTCTTTTTGAAATTCAACCACATAATGCAATCTATAGACTAGCATATAAAAATTGAATCATCCTTACCAATAATTTAGCAAAGATTATTACACAATTTTTATGTTATAGGTTTTGTTGCCAGTGGATGGGACCCCTGTCTAGTGCTCAGACCCAGTGTCTTGTAAAATCCCTCCAGTACATACAGGAAGAGTTTCCTACTGTCTCCCCTCAAACTGATAATTTCAAAGACCTCCAGAGAAGTTTAATAAAGAGAATACAAGAATCAATCAATGAAGACATGTACATACCACTAATGAATAAAAGGTATTGATATTATGAATTATAAATTGGCATATTTTAGAATTATATCTGGTGATATATTAAATTTAGCAATTGCACTAACAATTTAGCAATAGCCATGTTTCATTAAGCATGTGAAGAATGAATCAAAATGAAATGTACTTTTATTCAGTGCAACCACATCCACCAGTTTATCCAGTATTATTATTATTTTAATATTACAGTTATGTAGTTAATTATTTAATTGTTAATTAATTTGTAGTCAGTTAGAAGCCACCAATACTCATTCATACAGTTTCTATCAAAGACAATATTGGAAATCAATGAAGGTAAGGGAAACCATTGATATAATGGGAGTGGAATCGAGGAAAAATAAAGAAAAATTAATTAGAATCAGCTAACTTTCTACTCAGCATAAGGACATCAATATGTATCAAAAAATGAAATAAAAATTTGGGATAACTTTGGATCTATCTTTTTGAAAAAAACCATGGGCTATATGTTATATATATCATGACGATATGGGAATTGATATCCCGAGACCGAGGATACTTTGAATTGATATCACCCGAGGGCCGAAGGCCCAAGGGTGGTATCAATTCAAAGTATCCGAGGTGGAGGGTGTATTGACCCATATTGGCATGTTATATATGTTATATTTCATCTATGAATCTCATTAATGAGATATATACATATATAGCACAATGATGACATCATTGCTTTGATGTGGTGGGTTCTATACTTTGTATATAGACCTGCCATGCAGAAATGCTGTCATCATTATGCCATATATCTTATATAGTATACTATCATATACGGAATATAGGACCTTTGGTTTGTGTCCTTAGATGTGATATAGCCCTTGGGCCTACGGCCCTTGGGCTATATTACATCCTCGAACACAAACCTCAGGTCCTATATTTTATATATGCGACCTACTAGTATACTATATAATATACATACACTGTATATACATATTTCTTCCTATATAGTTTGATGCTATACCCATAGACTCAATGAAATGGTTACAGTGTTTATTAACATATGGATACCATGAGGGGGAGGAGCCTGACATCACTGATAATGATATTCACTTGATACCTCAGCTAATTGATAGAGTATTGATATCAAAGATTAACAGTGAGTCACATGACACAGTATCACATGATACATGTATTTACTATTCTTATGTTTGGGACTGGTCTTAAAGTGTTAGTTAAATTAATGCATGTTCATGTACATACGACTACTATACAAAATGTTTTCTTCTTTTAACGTCTTACACAAGATACTACCACAAGACATAATAGGAACCAATGGGTCTTAAGGTTGATACACCCACACAAATAATGCAACATGATGTAATAGTATGAACTTGCCTTTAATAATAAGGTGTGGTGGTATTATAAATTTAAAAATTTCGCAGATTAGTTAATTTGTGGCTATATAAAATTAATACTGTTCAAGATGATTTATTGGTGAGGAATAATATTGGCAATCGGCAGTTCTATGAAGAAATTGCCAATATAAAATCTGCCATTTTGTTTAAAACTGAGCATGCTCAATGACATGTGGCACAAAATCGCCAATATAAAATTTGCCATTAACTTTCCACAGGACAATTTGCCCAATATTACTCTCGCCAATAAATCACCTTGTACGGTATCTTAAAAATTCTGTGCCCATACATGTATTATAATTTTGTGCTTAAAAAGTATTGCTTTAGTCAGTGTCACTCTGTACAATGTACAGTTTAGAACAAATTTTTTAAGGGCTATATAAATTTTATGAGTTTCCCCCCCCAACAATTATTTTCAGATTTAAGTTTCTGGAAATTATACTGTCCCCCCTCTTTTGCAGTATTTCAAGAAATCATCAAAAACTTTTCTGTTAACTTGAAATTTAAGATATTTTACACTGCATGTATAGAAAATGTACATGTACATGTATATCAAACTACTCAACTGCTACTAATGAATGATAATGAATTGTTCATTCTCCAGTGGACATTAGTTAAAAACCTTTCTAAATTTCATCTCACTAGTTTTTAGGGAGTAGTACTTCATAGGGAACTCTGACCAATTGACACCTTTCTGTGATGAGTTATATCCAATCAAATAGAGACCATTGAGGTTTGAACGATAACAGGCTTTATACCACCAAGCTCCACCATAAGTTGTTGCGCAGCTTCCTGTGGCCCAGGCGTCATTGTCTCGATCCTTGGTAGAGAACTTCATTCCAGCATGATAGCTCAGACCATCTCCAGCATTGCCTTTATGGTCAGAATGCAACACCAGCGTATAGTTGCGACTTGCATCCGATACTGAAAAAGCATAATAAAAAGTGTAATTCTTATTCCCATCAAAATCTTCCAATTCAACAAGGAGGTGATTATAATCGCCTATTTCAGTAAGTCGGTTTATCTTGTTAAGTCCCAGCCAGAACTCTCCGTTGAGGTCTCCAAATCCTTTTTCATAGTCAGTCCAGTTGCGGTAGAAGTCAACAGAACCATCCATTCTCCTTTGAAATACAGTCCATCCATCTCCATAATTCATGTCACAGTAAACCTATTGAGTATAGTGATTTTAATACAGATAATATTAATATTATATTTACCTCAAAGGCTGGTAGTTCATCAGGTTTCACAGTATATACTCCACTGCATGTGTGACCGCGTTCATATACCTCCTTACAATCACGAGGGTGACAAGCTACATTAACAAATAGTCATATCTATTATTATTCATGTCATGACTTACATGTAGCTTGTGTTTCTTGTGCAGTAGCAATGCTAATAAGAATGAAGCATCCTATCAGCTTAAAATAAGAACAGGAATCCATCTTGTCTTGACTTGCTGTATAGAACTAATACTGAACAATCCTTTTACTGTAGGTTACCAGTGATGAGTGTTTGTGTACAGCTACTGCTTTTATAACATGCTGGAGCTTTATTTCAGATATTATTAATATTATACTTACTACTGGCAGGTCTGGAGGTGTTACTATAATATTTGGCTGACAAACAGGTCTAGGGTGCCAGTTATAGTAAAAGCATACCAAAGCAAAACTGAAGAGTGTGAGACTTCTATCTCCTCTTCAGTAGTGCATCATTATATATATTCAGGGTACATGAAAATGTTGTGACCATAGACAATGTTACTTCACATGTTGTATATAGTGTAGAGATGTTTGTAATAAGTCACTACATAAGAGAGAGAGTGGGATGTACTGTAGTAGAAATTTGGAAGGACCTCTAATTGTGATCCTGTAGAAGGGAACTGCCAATATGATATCCACCTTTATACTATAGCATTACAGAAATCTTTTATAATCACCTCTTTTTGAAATTCAACCATATAATGCAATCTATAGACAAAAAACATAATTATTGTGAAAACTGTAGCTTCATTTACTCAAAGATGTGAAATTCAGATACTTAAAATACAGGTATACTTTGTGTTTAGTAACTATTGTGATATTTCAGTTATAGTTTTTGTATTGTATTTGCAACTGCTGCATTGAATATCTTTTCTTACTATATATCCTTATTATTGTGAGTGGTAGTCCATAGATGATGTTACATGTCACTATTAGCAATGAGATATCATCACTCTTAAGTCGTATAATAGAAGGTATCAAATACCGTATGCTGGCATTCTAGGATCCATTAAACAACTATTGTGTATTGCGAATAGTCATTGTTATTACATGTATAACAGTTTTTATGGAGACAATATCATGATATCTAAATGAGACATCATACTGATGAAACAATATTGAATATTACCCACTCTTACTTACTACTGGGAGATGTGCTACAAATTTGGCTGACAAACAGGTCTAGGGTGCCAGTTATAGTAAATACATATACCAAAGCAAAACTAAAGAACATGAGACCTCTTATCTCCTTTTCTTTGACTACTCAAAGAACATTTGTCATGTAGTCAGATAGTGCATCACTATATTCAGGGTACATAAAATTGTTGTGTTTTGTGTGTCCATGGACATTGTTACTTCACATGTTGTATATAGTGTAGAGATGTTTGTAATAAGTCACTACATAAGAGAGAGAGTGGGATGTACTGTAGTAGAAATTTGGAAGGGCCTCTAATTGTGATTACAAAATCTTTTATAAACACTAGTCTTGTTTTTAAAATTCAACCATTTAATGCAATCTATACTATAGACAAAACAACATAATTATTGTGAAAACTGTAGCATAATTTACTCAATAATGTAAAATTCAGACACTACTACTAAAGTGGGCAATATACAGGTACATTGTTTTTAGTATAGAATTTTCAAGGTTGTTACAACCAGTTTATAACCTGGCAACCTAGTAACAGCCTTGTATAAAAGTGCTGAAGTTGTGACTAATGTGTGAGAAGCATAACAACCTTGTGTGACAAGGTTTTCCGAAGGTCAACAGGAAAATGAGGTTTTTAAGTGTGCCCCACTATGATATGAAGCTATTGGTACCATATATAAAGGGATCATTGACCAGCACTTATACAAGACAATAAAGATAACATTAGCACATTTTAATAGTTAATTTGATGGTCATGATATCTAATGACATATTGACAATTATGAATATCACCCACTCTTACTTACTACCGGCAGATGTGCTAGTAATATTTGGCTGACAAACAAGTCTAGGGTGCCAGTTATAGTAAAAACATACCAAAGCATAACTGAAGAATATAAGACCTATCTCTTCTTTATTGACTAATTATTCAAAAAACATTTTTCATGTGTTCAGTAGTACATCACTATATTTAGGGTACATGAAATGTTGTGTTTTTGTGTATCCATGGACATTGTTACTTCACATGTTGTATATAGTGTAGAGATGTTTGTAATAAGTCACTACATAAGAGAGAGAGTGGGATGTACTGTAGTAGAAATTTGGAAGGGCTTCTAATTGTGATTCTGTAGAAAGGGAACTGCCAATATGATATCCACCTTTGTACTATAGTATTACAGAAACATCTTTTGAAATTCAAGTAACCATATAAGACTGTAGAAAAATTTCAATTTCAGATATTATTAATATTATACTTACTATAAGGGTGGGCAATGCACATTGTGTTTAGTCACTGTTGTAATATTTCAGTTACATGCAGTTATTAGTACAAACTGGATTATTGTTTGTTACTGTATATCCTTATTATTGTGAGTGGTAGTCCATAAATGATGGCATGCAATCAATAGTAATGAGATATCATAGCTCTTAATACAAGTGGTAGTATAGAAGGTATCACTATTAAACTAGATAAAGTGATGTGTACTGTATATGCTGACATTCT